TCAGGTGTCTTCCTTGATTGCCCTAAGGTTCCCTCCCTGTCTCTCATCAAGACAATTTGAGCATTGTGCCACTGCCCATTGCATAAGGACCCTTACCTGAAAACCCAAGTGCCCATGAGGGTTTATCTCCCTTGGTAGCATCTAGTAGGTCCTCAATAAATACTTGTTAAGTGGCTGACCTCGAAGGGCTAGGTTACTGTTAAGATGACAGTCTCAAGAACATTTCCAATGAGACTCTTCTGGAGTTAACTTCCCCAGTACTCACAGGACAAGGCTGGCTTTTCCCAGACTACATACCTGCCAGGACCAGGGCGTCCAGAACAGCCCAGGGAACAGTGTGGGCTGAGCTGTCAGGCAGGCCCCTATGTCCCTGTGGTACCATTCACTTCACGAAACCGGCTCCAGCCAGGGGCATGTCCAGGAGGGTGGAAAAACAGAAGATGCCATGTGGTTTTGGATCTGAAAGAACAACCCACTACTCTGTGGGGGAGGAAGAGTGGGTTCCCATGCTCTTCGGGGCCCCAAATCACACTCAGGCCCCAAAGGGAAAGGAAAAATCAAAGAGCTGTCAACATTGTGGATAAATTGGGTCACACTTAGCTTAATGAGAACAACCAACCCCACCCTGTTCTGTTCACAAACCTCCCTAAAAATCAGGCAATAATCAGTACGAGGTGTTCAGCCATTAGGTCAGTGTCCTCAGCCTTCCTGATGCTGCCACCCCTTACTACAGTTCCTCATGCTGTGCTGACCCCAACCATAAGATCATTTTCGTTGCTACTTCATAACTGTAATCTTGCTACTGTTACGAATCGTGATGTAAATATCTGTGTTTTCCTAAGGTCTTAGGCAACCGCCTGTGAAAGGGTCGTTTGACCTCAAAGAAGTTATGACCCATAGGTTGAGATCTGATGCTTTAGGCTTTAGAAACAATATTCCTGAAGCCAGTTTTTAAAAGAAAAAGTTCACTTTAGGGGCTAGAGATGTAACTCAGGTATAGAATACTTGCCTGCCACACACAAGATTCAATTGGCACATTAAACAAGGTGTGGTGATGTAAGCCTGTAATCCCAGCACGTGGGAGAATTTGAGGCTAACCTTGGCTACACAAGACCCTGCTGAAAGGAAAAGAAGAGGAAAGAAAATGGTCCATTTTAGCACTCAGTCAAACTAAAGTCAGGGCCCAGAATCTGTGTGGCTCATTTAAAATTCCTCCAACTGGGCTGGAGTGAGTCCTAGTGTCTCCAGCTGCTGATTACAGCCTCCTAAAGAGGAAGCAAGGGAATGCACCCTCAAACAGCACCACCTCCTGGGGGAAGGCGCAAGAGAGAGTGTCCTCAGATAGCCCTGTGAGGCCTCCGAGGTTTAGGAGATGGGGAATTCCCCAACCTCTCCAGGCCTGGGAGAGGAGGCACTGAGACCAGAGTGAATACTCATCTCCACTTGGGCAGACAGAAAAAAAAATCACCCCCTGCATCCACCACTGTGATACCACTGAGTAAGAGTGATGCCAGCAAAGGCCACTGCTGACTGAGAAACTGAAAGTGATACTCAGGCTGGGGGTTTTGAGGGAATGCTGTGCTAGAGTTTTCCCTTCTTGGTTTATGAGAACCTTTAGTAAGGTTTCAAGATGTCAGTCATTCAAATGCTGTGATCTCGGGAGTATTTACACTAAGGAGGATTTGTCAGTACTATAAACCAGAGTTGCCCTTTCAAATAAATCACTTTTTTAAAAGTTACGAGCGTAAGAGAGCACTGTGTCTGTGTGCATGTGTGTGTGTGTGTGTGGTAGATGTGTGTTGTTGCATATGTATGTGTATGGTGTGTGTATATGTGTGTGTGTCTCTGTGTGTTGTATATGTGTGTGTGTCTCTGTGTGTTGTATATGTGTGAGTGTAGTGTGTGTGGTGTACATATGTGTGTTATTGTAGATGTGTGTGTGTGGTATATGTGTGTGTATGCATGTTATGTGTGCATGCACGTGTGTATGTGTGTGGTGTATATATGTGTGTGATATATGTGTTTGTAGTATGCGTGTCTCTGTGTGTATATGTATGTTGTAGTGTGTGTGTGTGTGTGTGTGTGTGTGTGTGTGTGTAGATGCCTGTGGAGATCTAAAAGGGTGTCAGACCTCCTGGAACTGGGGTTACAGACAGCTGTGAGCAGCCATGTGCGTGCTGAGAGGTGACCTTTGGAAGAACAGCTCTTAACATCTCTCCAGCCAAATCATGGGTTTGTTTGTTCTCTTGTCCCAGCTACTTGGTCCATCAGGAGCCGGAAGGGACCTGGAGAGTGCCATGAGGCAAAGGTCACTTTTGTCCTTCCCATAGCTTAACTTAGAGTCAGCACTCTCTATGAGGAGATGCCAGTGGATTCCAGTTCTGCCTGGTTTGTGACCAGAAGTGACTTCAGTGCCCAGCCTCCTGGAGCAGCAAGCCCTTTTGCTCATGGAAAGGCTGAGGTCATGCTTGTGATTGTGGCATGTCATTGCAGGAGACGAAGGCAGCCTGATAATCTGGGGCTGGCCTCCTTCTAATCCCCCTGGAAGAGATGTGTGAGGCCTCAAGTGACTTCTCCAGGCTAGTGGTCCCCTCTACTTCTGGGTTCATTTCCAGAGGTCATAAGAGACAGAAAAGGTCGTCCTTTATTCTGTGGGCTGGCCTAGACAAGCAGGGCCTTAGGCCTGAGAAGCCTGGGTCCTAAGACTGCAGGGCGGGCCAAGAAGCAGCCTGGGTAACGGCCTTTTCTCCCGTTGGTGCTTGGAGACACTGGGCTAAAGAGGCCGTTGCGGATGGCTGTGCTGGCACTTCATGGGAAGGACCCCCACAGTGTCCTGGCACCACCCTGACCCAACAGGGGCTTCGGGGTCTGTCTGCTGGGAGGCAGGCCTGTGGGAAGACATCAGTGAGAGGCCGGGGAGCAGGGAGAAAACCAGAAATGGGTGCCTGGTACTGCTTTCTTCTCCCCCATCAGCCACCTCTTTTGCAGCCAGAAGACCCCAGGGCCACACCCAGGACACTGTTAACCATGCCACTGGAGCACTCCTCTGGGGACCTAGGGTGGCAATGGACTTTGTTTCTCAACATGTGAAGGAAACCACCCTCCTGGTCACGTATACACTCTCCCAAACCCGGAGGGTATCAAAGGCTACTTGCTCTTTTTGGAAGAAGAATTGGAAATACTTGAAGGCTTGCACTCTGTTTATTTGTTTATTGAGAAAGGATCCTGTATAGCCCAGGCTAGCCTGGAATTCATCATGTAGTCCAAGATGACTCGGAATTCTCTATCCTCCTGCCTCTACCTCCCATGCACCAAGTGGAGGACTTCTGTTCATAAGGCCTGATAAAATTCAAGTCCAGGGTCCAAGGCCACTGCAGAGAAAAGGTTTCCCATCCCATAGAACCTCACATTGGAAAGAGTCACTGGGCCAGTATCAGTGACCCCTAGTGACATGATCATGTGCCCACTTCAGGAAATCACTCCAGATTTCATGGAGGTGGCCAAGGCCCAGCAAAAGGCATCCTGGTGTGGGAGGAAAAAGATGTCACAGCACACTTCTGCCATCTCACCAGGGCCCTTCGCCAGGTCGCACTCTGCCTCTCTGAGCCACTTCCTGCTTCTTTTTCAGGGTTGTAAGTGCTAGAGAGTCAGTATGAGTTACTCGTCAGGAGGTCCAGAGTCCAAGGCTGCCTCCTGGGGAGGCTGGGACTGGAAAGGCCAACACACCTGTCCCTTCCTAAGAAAACACACGTACTGTCTTTAGGAATGCTGATGCTATCAGCAGCTTGGGAAATCTGCTTGTCTGGTTTGTGTTTTCTCTGCTGATCTTACTCCAGGCCAGCAGTTCTCAGAGGCCTTTGGACAAATACACTTTTGAAGACTTTTTACCGACCTCTCTGGAAACTTTGCTTTGCAAGGGGCCAGCCCTAGCTAATCATCAGGCAACTACTGGGAGTCCAGTAAAGATGTGGACAAGAGGCTATTCAAAAATATTATTTTCAAGTAACTAAGTTTCAAAACAAAGAGGAAACTGCAACTCAGACGTGAGCCAGCATTCAGCAACCTGGGTTCACATGAGTACAGGTAGGACTAGAGCTTCCCAGTTCTGTCGGCTTCCATCACAGCTTCTAAGCATCTTGCTCTTGCTGGCATTGTTATACGCTGGGGAAGGGTTGCTATGCTGGAACAGTAACTGCCATGGACAAGGCATGGGGCGATCTGGTCAAATCCAGTGTGCCAAGTCAACACTGGGATGCCATTGTTGCCTTCCAGTTCTATTCCCCGGTATCTGCCCCCACCCCCTGCACCACGTGAAGCTGTCTTATATGCTGGGACGAATCAGTGACCTTGTATTCAGAGGTGATGCTGGGGCAGGGAGCTTGGGGCTGGATCAAGGTAGCTTATTTTGTGGACAACACCTTTTTCTGAGGGAGGGGGGCCACAGAGAAAGATCCAGAAGTTCAAGCCAGCTTGGGATGCAGTAATAGGGTGGCAGTTCCGAAAGGGGATCAGGCATGCAGAGTCCCGTTCTCTAGTGACAGCCTCTCCAAGGCAGAAACAGGCACACTGGTCTGTCTGAGCCATGGCTTTCCATGGGAATCTACAGAAAAGACACACAAACAAATGCCAACCTTTTAATTATTGAAGATATAGAGAAAGGAATTCTCAGACACCATTAAATCCTTATGGTAAGCCACACAGACTTGGGGAGTGTTTGTTTTAACGTTTAGCTTACCCCAGCTGATTCAGGATCAAAGTCCTTAAAAAGGTCACAGGTTTCACCCATTAGCTGAACTATATGCAGAAAATGATGACAGTCACTGCTGTATAATAATAGCAAAACACCCACTCCTTACAGACAATATTATTCTCCAATAATAGATTTTATTATTATTCAGTAAGTAAATTACAATACAACCCTGCAAGGAAATATTAAGTTAGACATTTAACATCATTGATAATGTATTTACTAATGTGAAAAAAAACCTTCATGACGCAGAGGTACTTGAAGAAGAGGAACAAACATGGAAGGTGTTTTAGTCACTTTTCTGTTGCCATGATGAAACACCAACCAAACACAACTTGGGGGAGGAAAGAGTTTCTTGGCTTACACTCACACGCCAGTCCATCACTGAGGAAAGCTCGGGGCATGAGCTCAAGGCAGGATTGCTGTTTACTGGCTTGTCCCCAGACTTGGGGATCAGACTTGCTGTCCCTGTTTTTATTGTGGCAAGCGCTGCCCCTCTGGGCTCAATCTACCATCAGAAACTAAATGCCTGCTGCTCTGTGGTCTCGGCTGGAGTCGCCCTTCTGCCTGGCTTGCTTATGGCTCACCACGCTCTGGCTTCGAGGCAGGAAGTGCTTCTTCACCACAGTGGTTTCCAGAGTGTTTTGAAAGCTGCTGGATCTCAGGACTCTCTTCTTTTGGGGGGAGTCCTAATTTGGGTGGCTTTGGCGAGCTCTTGCCACAGGTCTCCCTGTCCCTCCAAGACAGCTGAGGGCAAAGCCCTTGTCTCCACCACACAGCCTAACTTAAGTCTCCAGGCAGAAATCAGCAGTGTGGTAACAAGACAAACCGAGAGCCTGAAGCCCTGATCTGCAGGCCTGGAGTCTCCGTAGTTCACTCCAAGTTTTTCAATGGTGCTTTGGTTGTTTTGTTCTGTTTTCCTTCCAAACACATGGTGGACACAAAATTAAATTGAAATTCCATTTTCTCCCTCCCTGTTCACTCCCTACCCTTCTCAGCATCCTTTTGTTGGGGGGGACAAAGCACAGAGGTTTCCTGTCAAGGAAGGGTCTCTTCTGTTCTTCGAGGAGACCGGATAGCAGCGTGGCAGAACTATTTTAATCACACTTACTGTGTTTTCAGCAAAACACATGCTCCTCCCCCCAAAAACAACTGCAAGGAAAAAAGGCTCATTTTCCAAGAGAGTTCTGGAAAGCCACACTAGCCAGAGGAAACCACTTGCAGCAAATGAGAAACTAAACCAGGCTTAGTTTAAGCGCTGAGCTCCCTGAGAGAGACTCCCGTGAAAACCTTCATCATTCTCCTCCCCCTCTCCTATGAAACCCTGTCTGCGGGTGCAGCCAGCCTCAGTATCCAGGAAGGCTCCTCAGGACAGACCAGCCAATCAGCCTTTGATGTTTCCTTTCTTAATGGAGAGGATGTGTCTTACCAGTTTCCCATTCAAACGTACAGCATGAGACCGGCGATGACTCAGTGGATAAAAGTGCTTGCTGCCAAGCCCGACGATCTGAGTTCTATCTCTGGGTCCCACACGGTGAAAGGAGAAAACTAACTCTCGGGATTTGTTCTCTGACCTCCACAGAACACACAGAGAGAAAACATTTAAAAAAACGAAAATATACGTAGCTCTTCCTTATTTGCAGAGTATCTGTTCAAAAAGTTCCAGTGGACAGGGCCAATTCTTTGTATGTAATGTGCTTTTGTCTTATATGAAACTGCTATGGGCTGGGGGATAAGTCACTGGGTAGAGTGCTTGCCTAGCATAAAACTGAGAACAGCAACTCAATGCCTGTAAGATCCAAGGTTAAAGGTAGAGACAGGAGCGTCAGAAACTCAAGATCAACCTTGGCTACTATGTGAGTTCGAGGTTAGCCTGGATTACATGAGATGATGTCTCAAAGCCAACACACACACACACACACACACACACACACACACACACACACACACACACACCACCCTCAAAGACAGTATTCCTGGGTAAGGAAGTAGTCCCCAGCCCTGAAACACCTATGAGGAGAGACTCCCCTATCCTTTCCCCTTGACTCTGGTATCTGAAGCTGCTTGGCCAACAGACCTTGGGTAAGAGACCCACAGGTTCCCTTCTCCAAGAGTCAAGAAACTGTCAGTATCTAAGTCCTGTCATGTTCCTGGAACCAGATACCATACCATGAGGGGACCATTGACACAGAGTGCTGGAGATTTCAAGTCAACCATATAGACATAAAGACAGCCTGTCAACATGGCTTCAGTCACAGCTGTCACCCGACTAAGGTAAAAGAGGGAGGAAGTAATTTAGGTACAGTACAAAAATAAATAAATAAGGATTTCAAAGCAATGTAGTGTTAATCCATAACAGCGGGGCTGTGAGTGGCTGCACAGGCCTTATATCCACAAAGTTGATCCCAGGGCACCGCCTGACCTTGTGTCATGGCTACGCACTGTTTGCTCCAGTCCTGCAAGTCTTTGATCCTCCTGCTGGTGACTGCACAATTTTAATCTGAAGACCCACCTCCCTAAAGATGATTTAGATGGGGCCAACACCACTTTACCATTCCAGGGGCAGGCATGCGATCTGTCCTGACCAACAAGAGCATCGAATCCCCCTGGTTATCATTGATTCGTGGAAGGGTGTGGTAGCAGAGCCGATGAGAACCAAGGCTCAGAATTTTGCTGCAAGAACAGAGCTGACTCCTGGAGCAGCAGAGTTGGCCAGAAGCAAGCTTCCTGCGACACCAGCCGGGGAAGCATCCCTGAGACGAAGCTGGTACTGATGAAGGGAGCTGAGATGGTGGCAGTGAAGAATCCTGCCAGCATCATTCCCACATGCAGTCCGGGGACCCAACGGCCTTTGCTGATTGTCTTCTTCCTTCCCTCCTACCCTCCTTCCTCCACCCCGACTCTGTATCAGCTAGCATATCTCCTGCTTGGTCTCAGCTAGCGTCTGTTGTGCTTCAGTCACTGGAAATCAAGAAGGATCTGACTAAATGGGCTGCGGCTTAATGAATGAATGCCTCTCAGTCTGATGCTAGGCCGCCAACCTTGAAGAAGTCCATTGTCTGCCTCTCTCGCCCTCCTTTGCTCAGTTCCGTCTGACTGGAGAATCAGGGCAAGAAACAAAACAGCCCAGAGAGACTGCGCTGAGTTATTGAAAGTGAGAATCTAGCAGTATGTTAAGACGTCATCTCTCATTTGTACTCTTCGGTAAGTACGCAGAGAGAGTCAAGAGCGAAAGGCCAGCCAGGCGATGGTGGTGGTGGCACATGCCTTTAATTCTAGCACTTGGTGGCAGAGGCAGGTAGATCTCTGTGAGTTCAAGGTCAGCCTGGTCTACAGAGCAAGAGCCAGGATAGGCTCCAAAGCTACACAGAGAAAACCTGTCTTGAAAAAAGGAAGGAAGGAAGAAAGGAAGGAAGGAAGGGAGGGAGAGAGGGAGAAAGAGTGGAAGACCAATTTGTCTTAGGGATTTGAAAACAAAGCTTTTATGTTAAATGTGTTTTTTTTCTTTTTGTAATATGAAAGAATAGCAAGGAAGTGTATTGCTTCATAGGCTTTAAAAAGATTGATACAGGCCAGTTTATGCTTCTGCTGGACCAGCTCCGTAAAACCAACTCTGCAGAGGTCCAGTCCCCTAACATGAACAGCTTTGCAATAGACATTGGCCTCTGCCTGCTGTTGATGCTCACGCCAGTCTGGAGCTCACTGACCGGACTGACCCACAGCTCTGTCTGCCTCCTGTCACCAGCATCTGTCTCACCTGGAACCTGAGCGAACATCTCAGATCACCAGCTCTACTGCCAACAGAAAGTGTTATCTCTCTTTTGGGTATGTTGGCCAGAAAACCAAATTTTTATACCTCCAGGCTGGCCAGCATCTTGAAAGGCCAGTTAACTGCCCTAGAGAGCTCATCGGAGCCTCCCTTTGCCTGTGACCAGAACGAGGCTAACTTGTGCTCCGCCCTTCTTAGGCCCAGCGTTGTGGTGTCCTCCACACCACCTTTCCACCACTTTGCCTGCATAACCATCGAGCTGCCCAGGCTCTGCTCTTGTGGTCTGAGTCCCCAATCTGTCCTACTTATGTGTTTCCTTTTCAGAATCCTTGGTGCCTGCTTTGAAACCGGATCTTTCCAAGAACGGGACCAGGATGCCTCACAGTCCTAGGATGGAAAGTTCCAGGCCTTTGTGCAGCACCCCTCCTACTGTCATCTTAGAAAAGGTGGGGCTGATATATGGGACTCAGTCAATATTCTATCCTTCGATCTGCTCACCTCCCCACCTGGCTTCCTCTGTTTCAAAAGCCATGCCTACATCCTGCATGTTCTCAAAATACAGAACTGAGAGGTTAACTCCAAAATCCTACGTCTAGTATCCACACAGCAGTTTTGTTTTTACAAAACCTGTAGGCAATGAACAATTCCACTCTCCCCTGAATTCACACATTTAGGTCTGGGGGCTTTGCTTAGTGAGAGTGTGAGGCCCTGGGTTCAATCCCCAGTACCACAGATACTAAAACACAACAGCAACTCAACAACAACTCAACAAATACCTGCTGGGTGTTTGTGCCAGGGACTGTCAGGCCAAGCCTCTGAAACATTGTCATGTTCTGGAAATAGAAGGATGTTTCAGTCAGTTGTTGCCACGTAACACTTTGCTAAAACTTTGTGACTTCAAGCAATGAAACTTTATTTAGACTGACAATTGTCTGCCAGGATGTGAGACAGGGATGGCCAGCCAGTTTGGCTGCTCTGGGTATCATCTGGGTTCATTCAGTCATGGTAGTAGGTGGGTAAGTGAGCTGTATGGAGGGGTCCATAGTGCGCGTACCCCTCACTTAAGTGTCCCTCTACATGGCTTTCTGCTCACATGGGGAGAGCTGGTGCTTCCTCCCAGCACGGTTGTTGCAAGGTTGCCAGACTTGTTACATAGTAGCTAGATTTCAAGAGTAAATTTGTAAGTTAACCAACTTGAAAGTTTGATCCAGGGCTGTTGGGATGGTTTAATGGGTAAAAAGCACTTGCTATGCAAACCTGAAATCCTAAGTTCAACCCCTGTAACCGAGGTACAAAAGCAGAGCATGGTGTTGTTCATCTGTAATCCCAGAACTTCTATGTCAAGATGGGGGCTGGAAACAGGACACTCTCGTAGAAGCCTGCAGGCCAGCTAGCACAGGTGCACAGTGGGATAGAGACAAGAGAGAACCTGCCTCAAAGCAAGGTAGAAGGAAAGAACTTACTCCCAAAAGTTGTCCTCTGACCTCCACAAATGTGCTGCGGCATGCATGCACCTGTATATACATATGGAGAGACATAGACACACCAGACCACACACACACACACACACACACACCAGACACATACCACATCTCTCTCTCTCTCTCTCTCCGTGTGTGTGTGTGTGTGTGTGTGTGTGTGTGTGTGTGTGCCTCACGTCTTGACCAGTGGAGAAGGAGAAAATAGCAGCCATTTTAGAGACTGTCTACAGAGGAGAACGCCCATGGGTAGACAGACAGAAGAGCAATGGAGAGAACTGAAGTGACAGTGACAAAGGATCCTCGAGCAGCTCCTACAGATGATGTAGCTGTTGGGGAAAGTCTGAGAAGGTGATGTTTAAGTTACAATGGGAAAGGCAAGGAATTTCTAGTCCTAGGAAGGTCTAGCCAGGGGAAAGACCTAGCATAAAACCTCTAAGGTAGGAATGGCCCAGTCGTGTAAAGGACTAGAAAGGGTCATGGGACAGGGCTGTAGATAGGACAGAGCGTGACCAGGGAGATGGGGCAGTGAGAGAGAACCAGATCTCATGAACCAGAGGAAGGAGGTGGAGCTCCTTCCCAAGCCACCCATGGAAACTAGCCACTGAAGGAACTGGCTATGAGTCACAGAATGAGAAGGTCACTTGGCTGCCCTGCAGAGGACAGGCTATGAAATACAAGTGTGGAAGCCACGTGACGGTTAGCGCTGCTGTGGGAGCCACGGACATGCAGTTTGTTCTGGCTCCTGGTCAATGGGAGGAGACCAGAGAGAGGTGAGCAATAAGTGCTAAAGGTTAAACCCATGCTGTCATCCTCATGCCAGGGTGACCATCACAAAAGCCTTCTGCCCATCCCTCACGAGAATGCGGCCATCAGTTAGTGTCCCTCCTTCAGTTTCCTAGGTTGTTTTAAATCCGTATCTTTGCATATAATGGGGGCCTTGCATTCTCGGCTGTGCTGCTCCGAGGTCCACATCCTGCCCTTGTCCCACACAGTCCCTTGCTCCAGACACACCCCATTGCTCACGTCCCTGACCACATGCCAGCTCATGATCCTGTGCATGACACAAGCTGTTTCTTCTGCCCGGAGGGTTCTGCTTGTCCCCACGTCCGTCCCCTCGTGGGCCCAGCTCCTATCACTTCTTTGTAATGTTGCAGGTCATCCTACTGTGCTTCTCCTGGGACTTCAGCTTTGCTTCGATTTCTGTGCACTTGGCTGACAGGTGGCAAGAGATGTGGTCAGCCCTGCCTTTTCCCGTTAGCTGTGAGATTTCAAAGGCAGAGACTGCTTCTAGAAGCCAGAACAGTTCCTTTAAACTGATGCTTAGGTCTGAAGATGTACACCGCAAGGGCTAATCACTGGCAGAAAGAGGGACTATAGATCCTGTAATGAGACCCCACCTCCCTTGCTGATGACGGGATGCTAAGCACAACACCCAACCAGTCTGCCAGTCTTCAGAGAGGAACTTATACAAGTTCCCCATTGTATAAGGTTCTCCCGGAAAGCCTAGCCACACACGCTGACAGTCAACATCACTGCTGGTAACCCCCGCCTCCTGTTGGGAGTCTCGGACCACCACCGCCCCGCTAACTTAGACTCTTTGAAGATCTGAAAAGCCCACTGCTGCCAACGTGAAGTTCAGTGTGATGCTTACAATGCCAGCTCTGAGCTCCCCCAGACCACCTTCAGATCACAACCAACAGCTCTGAGCTCCCCCAGACCATCTTCAGACTCACAATCATCAGCTCTGAGCTCCCCAGACCACCTTCAGACCCTCCCCTGTGCTTTTGTCTGGTGACTTCTCTGTTGGCGGTTAGAACTCAGCACTTCCTTTGTCTCATGCGTCCATGCCTGATAGCTTGCCAATGAATGGATGATGGGTGGATGAGCTTGAATTCCTGTTGAGCTCTTTTGGGTCACCTCCTCTTCACTCTCCAGGGTCATGATCCAAGTCCTCACTTTGCAGGATTGCATCAGTCCCTAAGCCCACCCTGCCTGTGTCCCTGTCCTCCATGCTTCCAGGGCTGCTGACCTGCATGTTCACCTAGCCTTGGCTCTCCTATTTGAAGTCTTTGAAGTCACAGGTCACCAAACTTCAGCTTGCACTGGAATCACACCAATAAAAACACAGATCTCTGACATCTGTGTGGTGGTTTGAATGGGAATGGCCCCATGGGTCCTACGTTTTGAATGTTGGGTCTTCAGTTGGTGGAACTGTCTAGGAAGGATTAAGGGGTGTGGCCTTGCTGGAGGAGATATATCACTGGGGGTGAGTTTTGAGGTTTCAAAAACCCACACCAGCCCCCCCACCCCCGCCTGTGGACCAGGATGTAAAGCTCCCAGATACTGCTCTATCTCCATGCCAGCTTGCCTGATGTCACGCTTCCTGCCGTGATGGAAATGGACTAACCTTCTGAAACCAGAAGCAAGCCTCCAGCCAAATGCTTTCTGTTATAAGTTACCCTGCTTACACAGCAAGAGAAGAGTAAGTAAGAAAGCCCATCTGATAGAATGAAGTGCTGCCCAGGTCTAGGATAAAAAGTAAAAGTAACTAATATTTAGAGTGCATGTTCTTTAGGGCATGAACGGCACGGGTCTGTGACTGTAGGCCTTGGGAGGCTGAGAAGAGGATCATTTGGGTCTAGGAGTTTGAGTGTGACCTGGATAACATAGTAAGAAAGTAAGTTTCTCAAAACAAAAATCAAATAGAATAGAGAAGAAAAAAGCAAGTACTTGAGCTGCTTTCCAGACCCAGTAAATTGGTGTTCTAATGGGTGGGGCCAATAAAAGCTAATTCAACCCCGAGGATCACCATGATCCATGGGTAAATCCGAGCTCCAGCCTCCTCTCCAGCCAGACCTTCTTACATGCTGTCTTAGGCAAGACCCTCCCCGCTCTGCTGCTACCGCCCTCTCCACACAATTCCTCCTCGATCTGTTTATTGGTGCCAGACATGACCTCTTTGGATGACTCCCTTCCATGGGAGAACTCTTAGTCACCTATCATAACTTTGCTTTGCAAAGCATAGGAATTTTTTTAGAGACATAAAACTATGGGGCTGGGGTAGAACACAGTGGTAGGATGCTTGTCCAGAGATGTGCACTCACAGGCCCGGGTCGGATGAATCAGGCCCTTGGTGATTCCTGGTCACATCACAGGAAGAAGTATAATAGAGTCAATAGTCATCTCTTCCAGGGAGCCTTCCCAAGCCAACAGACTCATCAAGTCCATGCCTCCAAACTGACATTAGGATGGTGACCGGAACACTTGTGGAGAACTAACTATCAGACTAAAAGTATGACCTAAAACTACTTGCCACCAAGCCTAAGGACCCAAGTTCAAGCTCAGCCCCACATGGTAGCAGGACAGAATCAACTTCTGAGAGTTGTCCTCCAATTTCCACACGTGAGCTGAGGCATGCTTACCCCACCTACATGTATGCACGCACACACAGGCACACACACACACACACACACACACACACTCACTCACTCACTCACTCATTCTCATACTAAATAAATGCACTACATTTTGGTTTTTGCTAAAAGTATGGCTCAAAAGACATTCATCTCCAGGTATCCCCAAATGTAGAGAATGTTCCATTTTTCATCTTGATCCATCCCCTTTCTCTTCTGAGAATGCTCATACCATAGACAGGTTTAGCTGTCTTTGGTTTTTTTTTTTTTTTTTCTCTATATGGTACTTCTTCAGCTCAGTGGCTGCCTCCTCAGAGAGAGGGACAGGCAGGAGTGAGTGTGCCTTGGGTGATGCTCAGGCAGGACTAGTTCTCAGGTCACATGCTTCTTTTCTCTCTCTCTCTCTCTCTCTCTCTCTCTCTCTCTCTCTCTCTCTCTCTCTCTGTCCTCCCCCATCTCCCTCTCCTATCTTGGACGTGGAGAGTCCTGCTCATTGCTGACACCATTCTTTACAAAGTGGGACGAGGGAGAGTCTGGAGCCAGTGGCCTGCCCTTCCACCAGCTCTGCCACACTAGGGGTGCCACCCCAGGAGGCCAGGCAGCCCTTTGAACCTCGAGTTCTTGGTCTGTAAAGAAAGGAATAGTGCTTGATGATCCATCTCTTACCACAGTGGGTGTTTCCACGGAGCCAGGACTGTGCCTGGTGCACACACACACACACACACACACACACACACACACACACACACACACACACTTCCCCTTGCTGTTACTCATCATCCCAATATTCCACCCATCTTTGATCGCTGCCGTAAATAATGATATGTGTGTGTCCCTGTACGTGCTCTTGAGATCACCAACAATGCAAGAAAGGGCCAATGCCAAGTTTTTACTCAGCATTGCTCCATAGTTACCATCCATTTTCTAGTTGTGACAGTTAAGAATGGAGTAGTTGAAGTCACTGTTGACTTTGTTGTGATCCTCACTGGCAGATTATACAAGTGTGCAGTGACCTGCCCCAGACTGAATTTGCAACTCCAAGATCTAGAAAAAAAGTGCATTGCTCTCATTCCATCAGAGAGCTTTTTGTGCATTGATGACCTTTGCTGATGTCACGGACCAAGAAGAGGCAAAACAAAACAGTCCAAGGTATTCCTTTTCTAGGACACAATACATACTTACCATGTATACAAGTAAAACGCCTCAGTGGGAGTGGGGAGAGGGAGGGAGAGCTAATAGCTAGCTCTGTCAGCTGCTTGATAGCTGCTGGTCTGAGTTTCAGGCTGTCTCTGAGAACCCAACCCTCTTAGCATCTGCACAAGTGTCTAGACTAAAGAGTGCCAGTCTGGACAGCCAGGCATCTGGTCCGTGAGAAGGATCCCACTGAAGAGGATCCTGTGAGAACCATGTGGAGTTCCTGTGGAGCCATAACCACACACGGAGGGACACTGGCTCCCCTGAGACGTCCTGGTTGAGCCTCAGCTTACTTTAGGGACTATGGGCCCTGGGGTTAGAGAGCTCACCTAAAATATCCACGGTACTCGTAACTCTTTCCTGCTGCATGGAGGCGAGCATCCCATAGATGCGGATGATGAAATCAATAACTATGTCCTTTGGGGGATGGTTCTGACCCTTCAACATCAGTGAGATTGAAATTGAACTTCCCTCCCCTCATTGTGTTAGTATAACTGCCTACGAAGGTCTCACTGTGTGCCGCATAGAGGATTAGGCACGAAGTCATTTAGGGATGCTGAGGGTGGGACCCAGGGCCTCATCACACATCCTAGGCAAGCCCTCTGACACTGAGCTAGGGCCCGCTCCCAAGCATCCTTGCACAGAATTACAAACGAGACCCAGGAACTCACATGACTTTTAGAACCTCACACAAGGCCTGGAACTTGTCTGTTCCCGTCTCCTTGTCCCCTCTCTCCCTCTGAAGATCTTTCCTGTTCTTCACTGAGCCCATGTCTGAGGATCTGCTATGGTACAGTGAACTGAAGACTGTCAAAACAAACCAGGCCTCCTTTGATTTTATGTGATAGAGTTCCTCCTGAAAAGCTATACTCATGCTAGACATTCTACTAGTCTGACTGATTAAATTACTGTAGTCGTAAGGAAACGGCATGGCACAACTTGGGAGCCAAAGTCTCTTGGAGTATCTTGACCTTCTAAATAACCTTTTATTGCTCAACTCTATGTGTGAGCTATCATCATTGTGACTATTGGGTAAATCTGTTTAGAATGCACAAGCAGACCCCAAGCAAAAGGCTAAGAATGCCATGAGGAAGCATCTGAAGGTCTAACACAGGCTCCCTTGCCTTGCTGTGACCCCATCTGCCAGATGTTTCCCACCAGTGTATGGGAGAAGCATCTTGCTTTGCCAATGTCTTTGTTCCATTACTGTAAACATTTGATGAAACTATACCAAGTTAGAACATGGTACTTGGGGCTGCCTGAGCTTACATTTGACTCCAGAACAGACTATGTCCTATTCCCTTTGAGGTGAGAGCTGGGCTTTTTGTTGTTGTCTGTTTTGTTTTTGTACTGACAGTTGCAGGATGCTATAAATTGAAGTCCAGAATAAGTAACAGCTTATACCAAGAAGATCCATAGCCAAAGAGGCACTTAGGCTAACACAGCAGCTTTACACCAGAGGTCACGGTCAGAGTCCCTGAGATATTCTGCATCCTCCTCGAGATTCTAATAGGACTGCAGCAGCTCCCAGCCCATGGCTTCACATGACAATGTCCAAAGACAGGAAGAAGTAAGTATTTGCCTCGTGTCTTGTTTTCAGAGCTAAGAAGCCCCTTTTCAAGTCCCCATGCCTGATTTTCTCCACATTCATCATATGTAGGGTTGCGTCATGGGACCATTGCTATGGCAGCTCCCACCAGAGAGAGTTCTTTAGACATCGGCACATTCCTTCCCGGGGCAGAAGAGGTGTACAGAAATGCAGGTATGATGTGTTACATCAAATGCAAGAACGTGCAGTGCAGAGTGTTACAGAGTGGGAAGCCAACTCACCCTCCCACGCCCTCCTTGAAGGCTCCTATTGCGTTCTTATATATCTAAGGTCCGAAAGAAACTCACCTGGCTTCCTCCCTGATCTAGTATTGGGGATTGAGCCCAGACCCTCATGCATGCCAGGCAAACAGTTGCCAGACCTTCACGCGTGCCGGGAAAACAGTCGGTTACGGCTAAGCTGCAGCTCCCGACTCCGTTTTCCTTTTATTAACTCAGCATTTCCCCATCTTGTTTTTTCTTGGTGTTCTTTACTTCCTGCAGACACTGACATAAAAGACCTACCATGCCTTACTGTTTGGCCTAAGTTAAACACCTGCCTGGAGCAAAGTTTAGCACAGATTTGGAGCCAGACAGCACTAATCAAAAACACCAGTGAAAAACAAGAACATCTTAATAATTTGGAGGAGCAGACATAAAGGCAGGAAACTTTTTTTTTCAGGCTCTTCTTCTGAGAACTGTTGGTGGGATATTTTGAACTTACTCTGACATCTGTTAATAAAGTTAGCCTTGAATCAGGGGGCGGAGTTAGCATCTAGCTGACCAGAACTAGCCATAGAGGTTTGGGACGACTTCGAATATGTACAGAGAGACACAGAGGTAATAGAGAGGGGCTTAGAAAGATCTGTGGCCCTTTTGGATCTCAGAAGAGGAGAGACAGGAGGTCACTGGTCACTTCTCCACTGCTTCTGTAGTCAATCAAATTTTTGCCCTGATATTTGACTCCAGAGTTTTTATTAAATAATAGAATAATTTAGATAAACAGCCTAAATTAGTAGGTTGAAGACACTACCTGAATAACTTCTTTGCACTAACCTCTTTAAGTACTCTGGTGCCATCAGAACAAATGAGTATGACATTTTTCCATAGTCATTAAGGAGGCCAGACCAGGCATATTGACCCACGCCTTTAATTCCAGCACTAGGGAGGTAGAAGCAAGTGGAGCTCTGTGAGTTCGAGGCCAGCTTGGTCTGCATAGTGAGCTCTAGGACAGCCAGGGCTATGTAGAGAGAGCCTGTCTCAAGGAAATCAAAAGAAGAGGGCAGATGGCTGGGCCACATCAGAGCTACTATTCCATTGCTCCTCTTCCGTGAGACAATTTCCCCGTGGTCATGGGCTGCAGCCAACATGAGGCCAAAAGCCTCACAGTTGGCCCTCCACTCTCACCAGCTGGTCTCGCCACCCTCACCCCCGAAAACTCTCCCTGTGTCCTGCTCAATACTCCTGGCTTTGACATCCCACCTCTCCCCTGGGATTCTGGCCTGGTTACAGACATCTTGCTGACTTAATAGCTGACAAAAGGGAGAGGCTGAGGCATCTGTGTAAGGGATGCTTGGATCCAAAGGAAACTCTCATCGCTTGGCTATGATCATGTGAGATACTTGGCACATAGCCCTCTGTCCTGAAAGTCCTCAGAACTGAGAAGAGGGAGGGGTCTGGACAAGCAGGAAAGTCACATGACATTCTACATAACCAAGGTCCAGGGTTATTTCTCAGACATGACCATCCCCTCCTGGCCACTCATGGGACTTGTCCTTTGTTACTGTTCTTTGATGTTTTTAACAGACATGTCCATCCTGCCAGATGGAGGGTGGGGTGGGGAGGAGGATTGGTTTCCCTATCCTCATTGGCTTCACTAGGTCCTGTCAGAAGGCCAGCTGGGTCGTCTGGAAAAGACTGGGCAAGTGAAGACCAGCTGGATAGGATGGCCGAGATGAGCTCAGTTCACTCCATGTGGTTGGTTAGACACAAAGGTCATGTGACCAAGAAGTGGCGTTTGCTAAGTGAGGTTCCCAGAATCCTAAGGGAGAGTGGGTGTGGCGAAAACTGCCTGGCCTTCATCTCTTGCAGCTCTCACCAGTCTTCCCTCCCTCCCTCATTTGAAGGCCCACAGTGGATCCTCCCACTGTGGGCTCCTGCCCCATAATCTGTACTTCCATTTCCTCCAACCTGTGCCAAACATGGCCTCCCACCCATGCTCATGCACAAGTCAGCATCCCAACACCCTACGCAGAGCTTACCTCTACTCTACCCTCTCCTGCCAGGACTGTTTGTTTGTTTGTTTTTGTTTATGGCAGGGTCTTGCTATGTAGCCTGGCTGGTCTAGACTGTGCTGTGTAGAACAGGCTGGCCTTGAACTTGTGATCTTGCTTCCTTTGCCTTATGAGTCCTAGGGATTACAAATGTGTGTCACCACATCTGGCTAAGTCTTAGGGTGTTTTTATTACTATTTTATTTTGTCTTGTTTGTTTGTATTAAGACAGAGTCTCTCTATGTAGCCTTTGCTGTCCTGGGATTCACTATGTAAACAACCAGGCTGGCATTGAACTCACAGAATTCCACCTGCCTCTGTATCCTGAATGCTGGGATTAAAGGCGTTTATTACTACACCTGGCTAATCTTAGTTTTTTTTAAATAGGATCTCTTATAGCCCAGATTGGCCTAAAATGTCCTATATAGCTGAGACTGACCCTGAGTTCCTGATTCTACAATGATATACTATCACATCTGGATTAAATCCCCAAAGTCTTTACAGCAGCTCCCAGATGCTTGCGTTATCTAGCCCTGCCCGTTTTTATACTCTGCTTCCCACTACACCACTGCCAGGGGCTTGGTGTCCTTTAAGTTCTGGGCAGGGCCAGCTTCACAAGCCCAAAATGGTGCCAACACTGGGGGCCCTGCACTCGGAAGGTGACCACGTGCCTGCCTGGATGCAGGTGGTACTCTGAAGTCAGCACCTTGCTTTCAAGGTCTTTGGATTTCTGTTTTGTAAATTTGATGAGACAAAGGTTCAGGCTGTTTGCACAGGGTTGGGTCTCTGCATTCCTGTGGCCCGCCTCCGGCCACCATCTCCCTGCTCTCTGAGGCCCAGGGTCCCTCCTGACCTCCTCTTTCCCCTCCTCACTTCCTCCTGTGACTGACCTCTGTCCTCAGGGTGGTGGTTGTCAGTTACACAACACATCATTCCATGGATTTTGACTCCTTGACAGGGGCTGGACCAGGCGGCCAAAAGTGTTCAAGCCCCGCCAGGGGTGTGCATGGTTTCTCTGGAAGACCCAGTCATAGTCCCAAGCCCAGAGATCTGAGCTGTATCTTTAACAGGTGATGACATCTGTCCCCACCAGGTGCAAATACCCAGAATATTCTAGAATAGAAGTCACAATTATTGGGGGGCAGGTATCTTCCATCTACTGTGAGTTGGAAAAATGAGCCCCTCCTAAGAGGAGACTGCCTATCCCACCCTTGGCCAGGCTCTGTGTTTTCTTTTGCAGGCTTTGACAGCATAAACAAAATAAATAATTTTATCTCACATGCTGCAAGGTGAGCATGGTTTCTACTGAAATCCAGAAGGGGCCGGTGAGATGCCTCTGTGCACACAGGTGCTTTCCTTCAACCCAGACAACCTGAGCTCAACCCAAGACCTAAATGTTGTAAGACGACAATCAACTCCAGCAAGTTGTCCTCTGACTTGTGGCATGTGCCTGTTTGCATAAAAGCAAGTATGACAAAAATTTTGGTGTGTGTACAAGTGCTAATGTAGCCTCCAATCTTTTTGAATGCTTAAAATCACAGTATTTTAGAGAAGTTTTTTAAAATAAGCATGCTTTTTATTGTGTCCACGAAAACTACAATGAAAAGATGATAATAAACAGGCATGTATGACAACTACCACCAAGTTCTCCTCTAAAGAAATGAGGTTCTATCCCCCTGGAGCCCTAAGGCTCAGAGGCAACAGGGATAGAGACTCCAGAAGAAGGTACACGTGGGCCCACTGGGAAGGCCAGCGTTTGCTTCCTCCTTGACAGAAGGAGGTGGCCTATAAGCACTGCCCTAGGCTAGGCCCTCCATTCCCTAACTAGAACACACAAAAATCCCCCACCTACTCCTTCCCCAGCAAACACCGCTAAGGCAATAAGCCAAAACTGCTAAGAGCTGCTCTGAAACCAATGCTCTCGGGGATCCATCCAGAAAGGGTTGTGTTCTTCAACTTGTATGGAGTAGTAAATGAGGAGCAGACAGGCAGCAAAGACCAGGAGGGGCAATAGCTGGTTCCACAGTGGGACCTGGCCATACTGGTCCAGAGCAGAGAAACAGGGACCTGCTTTTCTGGCCTGATGGCGAGGCAGGAGAAGATGGGAGGAGGTCACAGAAGAGCTGGAGAATGTAGGATAAAGGATAAGCCCAGGAAGCTCCTGGAGACACTAGAAATGGGGTGGTGGTGTGAGATGCTCTAGTAGGCACTGTGTCACCCGTAGATGAGGCATTCTCTGTCCTTGCCCTCCTGGAGAAGAGAAAATATCAGGCACCTGGTGTTGGAAAGAGTGAGCATCTGCAAGTGAGGTCCGGGGCTGGGGGAAGCTCTTGGGCATGCCCACAGACTCAGGCTCCCCATATGTCCTGGAAGTCAAACAACGCTCCCCATAGCAGTTGACGTTATGGTCCTTGCTTTGGTAAAGTAAGGTGTCCTCTTGGGGGCAGATCTACACGTCTAAGTCCACAGAGAATCCAAGTCTGAGAACCAGTAGGAAAAACAGAGGATGGCGAGTTGGGGACGAGAGCTTCCGATTCTGGGTCTTATTCTGGAAGATTTTCTTTTCGTAGAGCTTGTGAGCAGAGCCCATGGGGGATGTTTTACTGGTATAGATAGCACTGGGGTCAGGTCAGTGTCGGACAAAACCGTGTAGTCTTCCGTGGAGGCATGCAACTCAGGGAAGCGGTGTTGAAAGTAAGGGGCGCCAGGGTCTAGGGACACAGTCTAAGAAATGGACAGCTCCAAGAGCAGCAGAGGAAACACCAGTGTCTCAGGAGCGGCTGTCAAGGTTTAAAAACAAAACAAAACAAAACAAAACAGAAAACACTGTTTTGGTGACTGGGCTTGGATACAGATCCTGTTAATTGCTATTTTCAATTAGCTATTTTCTTCTCAACAAGAAATCTGGGTGTTGTGGTACTCACCTGTAATCCCAGCATTTGGGAGGCTGAGGCAGCAGGACCACTGAACGTTCCAGGCTAGCCTGGGCTATATAGTGAGTTCTAGGCCACCCCTGTTGAGAGAGGGGTGAGGAGGAAGAGGGATAGAGAGACAAAAGGAAAGAGAGGGAGAGGAAGAGAGATGGGGAGGGAGAAAGGGAGAGGTAGGCTGGAGAGACGGCTCAGCAGTTAAGTGCAGGTTTTGTCCCAGCAGCCATGTTGGGTGGCTTGCAACCACATCTATCTGACCTGATGGCCCTGCCATCTGAGAGCACTAAAGCCACACACAAGCACATACACATTATTAAAAATAGTTTTCGAAAATCTGAAACAGGAAGTCTTCCCACATTAGTTTGCACAGACCAACTCCTGTTTGTTAAGTGGCCTTTCTTAGTGTGCCGTAGAAGGATCACATCTTACCCCCTCCCTACTGAAGGCTGGGGTCCCAGCCCGGGCATGGTGGCACATACCTTTAAGTTTTTAAAGACAGTTCTCAGGAGGCAGAGTCTGGCAGATCTCTGAGTACAAGGCCAGCCTGGTGTACAGCATGAGTTCCAGGACAGCCAGGGCTACACAGAGAAACCCTGCCACAGAAAACAAAATAAAACAAACAAAAGATCAGGAAACCCCTGACTTAATGGTAGAAGTAGGGGGTGGGGGCTAAATGCCCCCTGCTGTGTGGCCTGAATGTTTGTGTTCTCTCAGAATTTAAATGTCGAATCCCTAATGAGATATGGAGCTGGAGCCTTTGCAAGGTGACATCATGAGGGCCGGACTCATCACTGATGGGACTCATGCCCTTCTAAGAAGAGACACGAGAGCCCCCTATCCCCACCATGTGGGAACACAGAAGGAAGTCCTCGAAGCTCCTGTGAGTCAGGAAGAGAAACTTCCAGAAGAACTGAATTGACTGGCACCCAGATTTTACACTTCCCAGATCCTAAAACTGCCAGAAATAATTGTCTCCTGGTCAAGCAATCCAGTCTGTAGAGTTTGCCATAGCAGCCCAAACAGGATAAGGCTGTTGGCCCCTGGGAAGTGCCGAGGCAGTAGAGAGGGCACACATAGGTCACTAACTGGTCCCGAAGTAGTTCCGTATGGTAACAATTGTTACAAATCTACCTGGTAGCCACACTGTGTGTGTGTGTGTGTGTGTGTGTGTGTGTGTGTGTGTGTGTTGTCTGTTTTCCATCGAGAGAAGACAAGCAACAGACAGCAAAATCGTGTCAGAGGGCGCTATCTACTGCAGAGAACAGGCAGCAAGGGGAATGGGAAGCCTAGAAGAGGAGGTAGGGGGAAAGAGGCAGAACCCCACCCCCACCGCACCCCACCCAGCCCCACCCAGTCCCACCCCACCCCACCCCACCCCACCCTGTCCTTGAAACTGCACACACTGAAACCCGATGCTCTGAAATGAGTCACACAGCCACACCTCACTATGAGGGATGACAGCCATTCAGATCTGCACTTGGGAAGTGTGTATGGGGAGGAGGTGGGGTCCTCCACTGAAGGTGTCGGGACTGGGGACTGGGGACTGCTATCATGGCAGGAGAAGCTCATGGTGAGACTGTGATGTGGACAGCTGACTCCATGAGTCTCACACACGTGTGCCTGTGGCGTCTTATGGGCAGAAAGCCTTCGGTGGTTTTGTAGTAGGCTCTCATCCTAAGAATGTCTGCGCAGCAAATAGTCCTGGAAGATGGAGAACTGTGTCTCCTCTGGAGCAAACACTGGCTCGTTTAGTGTCCAGTATGATAAGGACCGTGTCATGTATGCACACCAGGCGGACACCTGAAATCCCTGTACTTGAGAGGGTAAGTGTAAACACATAGAATTTGTGGTGACTTTTAACCACGAGGAAAAGAAATACAAGTTGATCACATGATACAAAAATAACATTTTGGAATCTATGCTGCTGACCTCAGCATGTCCTCCCACTCTTCTGCAAGGGATTTTTCCACACAGCAGGGTACTTGGGCATAGTTTCTCTGGATTCCTAGGCTAGCTGGCATTTACAGAAGACAGAAGTGTCTAACCCTGTTGTAACTTGAAAAAACAAAACAGGAAAGGGCTTAGATGAGTTCAACTGAGGTCATGTGCCCACCCTGGACCAGAAAGGGTCAGGAGGGGTGGGGTCAAGCTATGGTATAGCTGTGACTTTCAGAAGGTTCAGGGAGATTTAGGAGCCTCCCGGAACCCACGACAGCAGCAGAGAGAGGCAGTTTAGCCCAGGGAGAGTCAGGAGAGAGAGAGCTGCAGATCCATGGATGCTTTAACATTTTCAAACAGAGCCAGTAGTAGGAGGTGAGGCCATTCAATGATGGGGAGAAGGCAAGAATCCCAGGAAGTTCGGGTGTTCTGTTTTGAACTTGGTGAATTTAGAATCTTCAAGGATATATAGTGGAAGATATCTCACAGATCACTGAGGATACAATTCTGCAGGTCAGAAAACTATGGGCAGCCCCAGCTACTGGTGGAAGACAGAGTGTGCCTCTCAAGAGTCCTTCTAACAGCAGAGTCCTCCAGTGTCGCCAAAGTCACTGGTGAGAGGCAGTCTGACTAATTATGAAGGAGTTGGTAAACCGCCTGCATTCATATTTCTGTGGAATGCCTGCACATCCCAGTCCGGTGACTCAGCGAGGGCTGCTCCTGCGGCTTGTTCCAAAGCACACTGGGAGTTGTTGGGCAAATATTTGAACAGACTTTCAATCTGAAACCCACGAGAAGCCCAGCCGTTCAGCGGCAGAGCCTACAACCCCTAGTAGCTCTTTTAGCCCCTTACAGCCAACCTCTGATGAGTCTGGAAACAACTGAGCAACGAATTCCAAACGGGACTGGCTCTCCAGAAAATATGTCACTGTTAAGGGGAGGGGAGAGGAAAGATAACCAGAGGTCCAGAGCACCCCACTCCCACCCAGAGGGCTCCCTTTATCTCCTATGGTCTGGGTGTATGGTTATTCTGTGTTCAGAAGGAACTGAGTATATGATTAATTTTTGATCTAGAATGAGTCAGACATGGGTGTGAATTCCAGTTTTCCCATCTACAAAGTGCTAATTACAAACGTGCCCTCTTCCTGGGAGCTAGAGAGAGTTAATGAGGCAAGAGGACAGTGCTGGGCATGCCCCTTAGCGGGGCCTCGGAGGGTCCCCTCCACTTCATTCCCCTCCGACCCTGCCCCGGGGCAAGGTTCAGTGGCGCAGAGGGGCTGCCTGCCTGGGTGGAGGAGAGAGTTGGGTTTCTCTATGAGCTGCCCACCTAAAAGATGACTCCACGGGAGACCCCGGGGGATTTCCTGTAATTTTTACTCTCAGTGTCCTATTTATAAAGTTTAGTCACTGCCGTTGTTTCGCAGCCACTTGGCATGTGGAGACAGGTCATAATCGGAAACGGGTTCACAGGAGACTTCATCTCACCCGCAGGCTTTGGGGGAGTCTGGGTCCAGCTCAGGAGACTTGCTGGGCTGGGAGGCTCATCTTCCCATTGGCCAGCCACACCCTGCTCTTACATATTCAAAGGAGAGTGGCCTCTGTCTTCAAGGGTTCCTTACAGGCTGCTTGTGAAGCCCATCTCGGCGGGAGGCCTTGGCACGGAGTATGGTCCCAAGAAGGCATCTTTTGCTTCCTGCAGCAAGAACAGACCTGCCCAAGCATCTCTGCTCATCCCTGTCTCCATAAAAAAAGGCAGGTTTTCCCGGGAGGTTCAGAGCTCCAAAGCCGGGCGTGCAGAAATAGTGGAAACAATTGAGGGGCAAAAGCAGGGGAACTGAACTGAATCCAGCGAAGCTCAGCTACACTATTTTGTTCCTGTTTGATCCAGGACAGAGCCACAAGGGAGAACAAAGCCCCCTGCTGACTTCCCGATTTCATACCCACTCTGCTAGCGGCTGAAATCAGGCTCTGTAATCAGGGCTGGTAAACCATTTCCTGTCTCCAGTGCTCCCAGAACACTGGGCAGGGCAGGGGTAGTCCCATTTGTTGTTTTTCATGGGGACATGGCGCTTTCCAACCACAGCAGGCTTACTTCTTAGCTGTAGTTTCTCATTAAGCAAGGCGATCAGCAAACCGGCATAAGGTTCTTAACCAGTTTCTCTTGGGAACCAGTCCTGGAAGCCTCCTAGGTTTGACGCTGACCTCCGGGGCTCTGTGTGTACAGAGTTCAGGTCTGCAGGTGTCCGTGGCTTGAGAAGCTTTGGGATCATAGCCCCAGCAGTGAGGCGGCTTCTGGGCCTCTCTCAGCTTGTGAGGGCTGAGGTGGAGTGACTGTCATAACCCCCGGTGGTCTCTTGTGCCAGGGCTCCTCGGTGGCCTACATTAGAGATTCGATGGCCCCGGGGAATTCCGGGGGACCTCTGGCCCACCCTCTGGAGCATCAGGCCCTTTTACCACCTGTTGTCTCGGGCGCCTCTCAAGTCCCAGGCTGACCACAGTCTTGGCCCAAGTCCCCCCCAGTCCTTATTCTGTTCTTTCTCTAGCTTCCTTCTTTCTGTATGTCTCCACCTCTTTCCATTTCTAGGACTTTAAGCCCCCTTGTCTCCATCCCTGTGTTTGTGGCCTGACAGTAAGTCTCCAAAAGCTACCTGGAACCCACGGATCAGTCTACAGAGGCCCAGAGACTTTCCGCTTCTCAGTGAGTCACATTTCCCCTAGTTGAGGTTGGGAGATGGGTATACTTCTGATAACAGCATAAAAACAAAGCGCCCATTGCCTTAGAAAAACAATGTTTCAAACAAGTGCGAACTGCTAAGGTTCGGTAAGTGTGTCAGACGCCAGATCAGCCCGCGAAAATCAGCAGCATCTGCCTCCGCCCACATCTGCCTCCGCCCACAGTCGCTGCTACAAAGTAGTACTCTGAAGATACTATTCATAACAACCACTTGGATTAATTACCAGATACGTGGGAGTTTATTAACCAAGAACACACAAAACTCTATATGCGTTTTTTTTAAGTTCTAATAAGGACACATAAAACAATCTGTGTTAATAGCACACAGTCCCTGCTTGGATCGAGTGTCTTAATAAAGGAGGGTGTGTATGGGTAACTTTGTAAATACCTGATTACATTAATGATTGAACTACACATTTAAGACAAAGCCAATCAATGTGCTGGTTGGCTTTTGTTGTGAGGAACTCTATAATGGGATAACTTTTTAAAATGAAAAGTAGAGAGGAGATTGGCTCAACACTACAAAACCCCGGTGATGGGAGCAGTGTAATGGGTTTAGAGACAGTCCTAAGGAGCGGAAGAGCAGAAGCAGAGGCTCAGGGACACACCTGTGAAGTGCTCACACACAGGCGGTGTCACTTTGTAGCAGGGACACATTCTGAGATGGGCACATTAGGCAATGTCACCTCATAGATAGTTGGTCCACAGACATGGTAAACACCAGCTGTCTGAGGCTGCTGCCAGCGTGACAGGGTAAAGATTTAAAAAGAAATGTACAGAGTAACTATAAAATGTTGAAAAGTATAGTGTGGGTGATCCTTGAACCAGTAACTGGACTGTATAGACAGAGAGGCAAACATAAGAACTCAAGATCTGGGCGAGTGAGTTACACTATCAGTTAAGGTTTGGGTGGGAGCCTCCTGTGTTATTATCTCTGGGACAAGTGTAACAAAATGTGTACCTTGCATCCTTGAGTATCTTAAATTAAGCTTTTGACCAGGCCTGGCTACTGGAGCTGTCCCCCAACATCAACAGCAGGCTCTCATTGTACCTGTGTAGATGGGCTCCAATCCATTTGAGCAGAAGATGGATTTGGGCTGAAGCAAAAGACAGAGTCCACCCTGTCCCAAACAAGCCTATTCCCAGTATCCAACAAAGTCAGAGTTGGAATGTTTAAGCCCTCCCTTTAGAAACTGAAATCCCGACTCTTCAATGTGATGGTATAAGGTGAGGCCGTTGAGTATGCTTAGGTCATAAGGGTGGAGCTCTCAGGAACAGGATTAGTACTCTGATAAAAGAGTTCCCTCACCCCCACCTGCCCAGCCTGTTCTATAACATGAAGACAGAGAGAAACTGCCCCCCCCCACCCAGGAACAGGTCCTCACTAGACACTAAACCTGCTGACGTCTTGATCTCAAATTTTCCAGGTCCCAGAACTGTGAAAAAGTACATTTCTACTGTTTGGAAGGTGCCCAGTCTGTTGCAGTAAGTTGTATATACTAAGACAATTCACATTTGTCCCAAATGGTTTCACAAAGACATCCCACTCCCCTGAACTCCCAAAAGCAAACAGAGTTTTAAGGTAAATGTGGCATAAAACCAGCCATTGTTAAATGTTTGTTATTCATTTGGCATGTTTGTAAATAGGCTCCCTTCTTCTGGTTTTAGACAGTCTCGTTTGTGATGGAGTCAAGGCCCATTCAGAACAGCTCCATGTGCTAAGTGCTCCTTGGTGCCCACTAGCCGGGACATCTCATTTGCAAGGAAGCATGGATGGTGTAATAATGGGAGCAAACCTGCACATCACTGGACTATAAAATCCATTAAAATATTGACGGGTTTAAAGACTTAATGACCCAGCAAAGATGGAAAATATGTTTAAATGCAGATCTTGGTCATTAAAAAAGCATTTGTTATGCCACATTGGCCTCCTCTGAAAATGGGTCTAAAGCAAGAACACACATCACAAGAGTCTGGACCAGCAAAGGAGATATACTCCTCATGGGGTGTCCAATGAAGCAAAAACTCTGAGGTGCACAGATTGCCCCTCTGGGCTGGTGATACGGAAGCTCCAGATATGACAGAAGCTGCAGTAAATCCACTACTCTAGAGACTTCTGAACTGTGAAAGCATTTTCTGAGGAAGCCCTTCCTGAAGAGAAGATACCAGAAACAGCAGGCGGTGAGGCAGCTGGAGAAGCTTGTGGGAGGAAAACCACTGAAGGGAGTGACTGGAAGAGGCTAACAGTTCCCCGTGGGTCCGTGAATGGTCTTTCCCACCCAGCTGTAGCTTCTGCATCTATATGATAACCAGGGCTTTTGCATTTATAAGACAACACAGCCCTGGAGTCTGGGTGCTTAAACAGAAGAAACATGTTCCTTATAGTTTCTGAGAGTGAAAGACTAAAATGTGGGATCCGTTTCTTTTGTGGACTGTGAGGAAAGCACGTCCCGGGTGTCCCTGTCTTACTTGGTGTCCTTATATTGTCTTCCTTCTGAACGTAAGAATTTCTTCTTGCTGTAAGGACACCAGAGATCTCAGCTAAGATGGTGGAATAGAAGCATCTTTTGTTCAACTTGGAATGAGAACGATCAAGCCAACAGAGGAGACATTATATCTTCTGGAGAGAAAGTGAGAAACTCCACGAGCTAATAAAGACTCCAGTCAGGTTGCGTTAGCGCCCGCCACGGTTGACCTCATTCAACTTCGTTAGCTCTTCATAGATGTCACTTCCAACGTGGTCCCACTGGACGACTGGGGAGGAGGACTTCAACGTTCCATTTTGGGGCAGTGGGACATAGGTTGGTCCCTAATAGTAACTGAATGATGACAGTGCACACAAAGGAGCTTTTGTATAGGAAATACTAAAACCTCAGTGTTGAAGAAGCTGAGCTTTCCTGAGGGTTTTCCCGATGTAAGTCCAGCTCTCAAAGATCGCCTCTGACAAACTGCATGGGCAGCAACCGAGGCAACAGCTAGGGCTGTCAGTCATCAGCAGGTCACAGGATCCCGAGCACATGACATGGACCTCTGAGACTCAGTTCTCTTACTTAAAGTAAAGGAGTCAAGCCTGTGAGTTGAATGTGCGGATTGACATTCCAACCTCTACTGTATGACAGAGCAAGAAGAAACAAAACAGCAAAACCTACTTTCCCCGAATTCCTTGGCAGCTAGAGTTTTTGTTGTGAGTTAAACACCCCCACTCCACCCCTACCCATACTCACCCCTGCAACCTAGATGCACTGGTGTGAATGAACTTGAGGACAAGTGTGAAGCAGAAGACACTTTCCTACTGCTGCTTCTGCTGTAGGGTCTTATAAGTAGGTCAAAGTTCTAGAAGCCAGCTATGGGGGTGGGGTAGTGAGGCAGCAGCAGTGGAGTACTCCAGGATTTCCTCCTGAAGACAAGATGGCAAAATTAGGACACACACACACACACACACACACACACACACACACACACACAGAGAGAGAATTTCATTGTCATAGCAAATGACTGGCGACATTCGAATGACCATTGATGGTGATCGAGTTGAATACACCATGGGTCATCTACACTCATGCTGGAGCACTGTGTGGTTTCTAAGGAATAAAAGGAGGTTTCCACATAGTGACATGGAATAATTCTCAAGAAAACTGAGGGAGAAGAAAGTACAACCTTTTAACACTGCCACTTAGAAAGAGAAGCTAAAAGTGCTTACTTAGGACTCTGACATTGTTTGAAAGGATGCTGTTTGCACCTGAACTTGCCTTTCTCCTCTGCCTCCTAGGGAATGGAATTATAGGCATGTGCCATGCCACCATGCTGGTTCAGAAGAAAAACTAAACAATGGACAAAGTATTATGGTTTGGCTCTTAATAGTTTTCTAATGTCCAGGAGATGATTAACCAATTTGTGGGTTCACAATTTCATGAAGGTTCTGTTCTAAGCCCTCTGCTTACTCTTCATCCTGGGTCCAGACTCTACCCCCCATGTGCACCCACCATGATGCTCTGCCACTCCTCAGGCCAGAACAAAGGAACCAAGCAACCATGGGCCGAAACCTCTGTAATCGTAAGCCAAAATGTTTATTATTTGTTATAAATAGATTTTTTCATGTATTTTGTCACAGCAAGAGAAAGCTGACAGCACACACGCCACAATGAGTTGGCCCCAGAAATCTTTCTGCATAGTAAAAACAGCAGCACTATGATGTTAGGTCCTAGCCTGGCTCCTGCCAGTTCTGAAGAGCAGGAGAGTGGTCCAGGAAGATGAGGGAAGGGCTTGTCTAGGCTCACATCTTTGCGGAGATCTGGGTGTTTTTATCTTCCTCCTTTCACAGGTGAGGAAATGATAACAGAAGAAGGTCAGCAGCTTGATCACATCCATGAGACAGGTAGAGCAGTCCATCCCCCTTTCTGCAGGACATGTTTCTTCTTTTAAAAGATTTACAATGCCTTGATTTTTCTATGCGTATGAATGTTTTGCCTGCATGTATGGATGCATACCATTTGTGTGCCCAGTGCACTCGGAGTTCAGAAGAGGGTGTCAGATCCCTAGAACTGGAGCTAGGGATGGTTGTGAGTCACCATATAGGTGCTGGGAATCAAACCACGGTCCTTTGCAAGAGCAACAGGTGCTCTCAACTGCTGAGCAACCTCTCCAGCCCCCAACAACTTATTTCAAGAGCCCTCGCTGGAGAACCAGAAACTTTTCTATCTTTATTAGTATTCCCCCGCCCACACACACATACACACACACACACACACACACACACACACACACACACACACACACACACCAAAGCAGGGTTTTATGCAGTTTAGGGTGTGAAAGCAAAACTAGCATGGGTGTCTATTGCTTTAACCCAGTTCCACAGGTTTGCTCTTGTTGCATGTCTTAGCAAGCGTGGCATGTGTTTCTCTTCCCTGGTGACTATTTCCTTCGTCTTTTTCCCCCAAATCACTCGTGTGACCTGACCACAACACAAAGATGGTGATCTAATAACCGAGGTGACTATTGACGAACAGGTAGGTAGTGTAGACAGCATAGACCCACTGGGAAAGAGTTGATTTGTTATCTGTGAACTGAAACTGTGGAGAGAGAGATAGACAGACAGAGACAGAGAGATAGGAGAGACAGAGAGACAGAGAGAGTGCTAGGGAGCTGCATATGTGTTAAAGATTCTCCAAGGCCAAATGATGGAAATTTAGGATTATGGCGAGCTATACTATTGCAGACCACAGTTAAATTATCTTGGGCTAATTTTAGTTCCTTTGAAAGGCACTCACTGCTCATACCTATGTCTGGTCTAACATGCTTTATGCCTGTGAAAACTCTATGATGTATTCTTAGCAGATCACTAGCTTCCATTCCAAAAGTTAAAAGTGCCATCAGGTATTATCTGAAACCTGTCACAGAGTTGTCCCTGCTTTGCCATCAGCTGCCTGCCTGCCTGTAACCCCCACTAATGCATTTAGCAAACACTTTGATTTGTGACTTTCTTGGTTATGTAACTAATAAGGTCTCAGGTAACCACTTCCATGGTGAAACATTTGAGGGTTTGAGATCTGTGCGGTGTTTCCAGGCCACAGTCACTTGTGCTTGGCTCCAGAATAAACTCCCTCTTACTCTCATTGAGGCCAGAACCATGGTTTTTGCATCAACATATCAAACACGGCTGTGTAAAAACTTAGGAACTTCTTAAGTTCTGGAAATTTCCATTTAATACTTCCGGATTATGATCAGTCATGGTTGCTGAGCTAGTGGAAAGTGAAGCCACAGGCAAGAGGGACTTCTGCAAAACTCTAGCCCAGAGCTTTGTAGTCAGGCCTTTGGCCCTCATCTCTAAAGGTCACTCTCTCTGGATCCCCAGGCTGAGCCTTTAGAGTGTTGGGATTTGAAGTGAGGCATTTCCGGTGTCTATCTTGATGCTTCACCCTAAAGTTGACCCACAGACCTGTTAGAAAGGGTGGACCCCAAGCCTAGCCAGGGCATCAACGCTGGGAAGGGGAGGAGGGAAGCAGCCCTCAAAGCCAAAGACTTTTTGTCTGACTCCCTACAGGAATTACCTGAGGGGCCTTAAAAACCCCGGATCCCAGGCCCTCTGAGAGACTCTCATTTAGCAGTGTGGAGGGCAGCTTTGGCTGGTGGTTCTAGAAGCCCCCGGTAATTCCAGGGAGTAGCAGAGCTTGAGAAACACTGCTGTTGCTGTTACCGAATGGCTGGGGCAGAGGATGGAAGGCAGTACCAAAGATGTCACCTGCCTGCCTGCTAGAAATGAGGGTTCTCTGCCCAGGCCTACTGAGCCTGACATCTGGCTGGTACTAAGGAGAAAGGAGTTGGTCTTCTTCTTCTTTTTTTTTTGGTTTTTCAAGACAGGGTTTCTCTGTATTGTTTTGGAGCCTGCCCTGGAACTCGCTTGGTAGACCAGGCTTGGTCTTGAACTCACAGAGACCCACCTGCCTCTGCTTCCCGAGTGCTGGGATTAAAGGCGTGCACCACCATCACCCGGCTAGGAGTTGGCCTTCTACACAGTTCTGATACATCCTAATGTTGAGAATTGCTTCTCTAAGCAACAGGCTCCAGGCAGATTGTCACTAGTTGTGATTTGCTTCATCAACTATTGAATAACAACTATGTTGATTATAAAGTTAGGAAATGAACCTACCCTGGGGCCTTCCCCAGAGACCATGTGAGAAAGCATTATAGTGTGATTAGGAAGCAACTGGAGTTTGATGTGGCCTCTAAGAAAGGGGGCAGCATTATCACATGTGGATACCATTCGGCAACTGTGGGCCAGAAGCGTCCACAGGAAGCCTTGTCTGCCCAGGGAGAGCCCTGCCTGCCCAGAGACAGCCCTGCCTGCCCAGGGAGAGCCCTACCTGCCCAGAGACAGCCCTGCCTGCCCAGAGACAGCCCTGCCTGCCCAGGGACAGCCCTGCTTGCCCAGAGACAGCCCTGCCTGCCCAGGGACAGCCCTGTCTGCCCAGGGAGAGCCCTACCAGCCCAGAGACAGCCCTGCCTGCCCAGAGACAGCCCTGCCTGCCCAGGGAGAGCCCTGCCTGCCCAGGGAGAATGTGATCCGTGGAGAGAGGTAGGCAGTACATAGCTGAGATGACCCAGCACCAACACTCTCTTTCCCCAGACTTCTCAATCTGGATGGCATGTTTGTCCATTTAAAATGCTACGACAAATTGCTACAAAGATGGTGAATTTAAAAATAACAGAAATGTATTCCCTGACAGATATGGAAGCAAGCAGTCAAAACTGAAGGTGGCAGCACAGTGACTTCCCTCTCGGGATCTCAGGGGACTTGTCTCCTGCCTGTCCCTCCCAGCTTCCATTGACATTGCCTTGGCTTGCAAACACGTCACTCCAATGTCCGTCTCGTTTTCCACAACCCTGCCCTTTGCATCAAATTCCTCTCTCCTTTCTCTTCACAAGGACAGCAGTCATTAGGTTTAGGGTCCAAGATAATCTCATATTGGGAGCCTCGGTCACATCTGCAAGCATTCTATTTCTAAACAAGGTCACACTCACTGTTCCAGTTTAGGAATTAGGACTTGGGAGATAAAATGTCCCCTACTTCAGATAAGAAGCAAATCCCACTGTGTTCAGCTGTCTCTGCACATGCTGATGGTGAGCACGTGGGTTTGGAAGACAGCGCTGTAGACCAGGGTTGTCCAATTCCTCAGCTTCTTCGGGCCACACTGGTCTAAGAAGCGTCTTGTACCACACATTAAATATAGTGTGTCCAGGATAGTCGATAGTGGAGTGTCTTCATAGAACTGTAAGAGCACTCTCCTTTGTGTGTTCATTTAAGCCTGGGCATGAACGTGGGCCGTCTCTGTGCTGTTTGATTAAGGCAGAGGGTGGAGGATCAGGGATTAGGTGACTTTTCCAAGCTCATGGAATTTCAAATGCTGGACCCTGGCAGAGGCAGGAATCCAACCTGTGTACCCTGCACTCCACCGTGCCAGCCAGGCTCCTGGTTCTGTTTCTGCTCCTACTCCACAAACCCAGGCCTCCTGCTCCCCCCACAATCCTGCCTACTCTTTGTATTCCAGTTTGCCTGCCTGTGCTCCATCAACGTTATGTTTCTTTTATTGCTCCCATTAGGCCTATTTAGAGCCAAGCTTGGGTAGACACTCAGCACATTTTGTTAACAGGATAACCTGGGCCTATAGGAAACTCAGTGTCTAGCAGGGAAGTGTGAGTTTTGACTAGGCTGGACCTCAGCCTGCGCCATAAAAAGACATAGCAAAACATACCACATGTGGACTAGCTAATAGTGTGGCTGACTTTGTAGCATCCTTGGTAATAAAGGACAAGGCCCGAATTTACATCATGTGAGTTCAAGGCTAATCTGCAAAGCTTGTCTCGGCCCATAGCTTTAATTGTCTCCTGCTACATCTGCAGTCGATAGTGTTTCTCAATCACTATAGGACTTACGGCGAAGACAGTAAGCCCCAAGCACTAATTGCCTTCACACTAAGCCCTCCAGCCTAGGTGGGAATTTGTGAGATCCAAGGGGCAGAAGAATAGCTGAAGTTTCAGGAGACTTGGGTGGAGAAAGTCAGTTGCTACAGTTTAAGCTGACCCTGGAACACATCCTGAGGTACATTCAGGGGGGAGGTGCATTTTGTAGGGCTGAGTTCTACATGCTTATCTGATATAGCACGGGGGCAGGCAGTATCTGTCTTCATCTTTCATGACCTATGAGTGTAGGACAGTGCATGGTTGGAGAGCAGGTTCAACGATTAAGATCACTGGCTGCTCTTCTAGAAGACAACTGGGGTTCAGTTCCCAGCACCACAAGGCAGCTCACAAGCTGTAACTCCAATTCTAGGGAATTCCATGTCCTCTTCTGACCGCCACAGGCACAAGGGACCAGAGTGGTGCATTGACACATATGTGGACAAAACACTCATACATATAAAATAAATATTGTTATTTTTAAAAAAGATGCCAAGTGGTGGTGCACACCTTTAATCTCAACACACAGGAGGCAGAGGAAGGTGGATCTCTGAGTTTCAGGCCAGCCTGGTCTACAGAGTGAACTCCAGGACAGCCAGGGTTACACAGAGGAACCCTGTCTCAAAAAAACCAATAAATAAATAAAAAAATTAATTTACACAACAAAACCAAAAAAAAAAAGCATAGTGCTAGGTGGTGCATATAAATCCAGAAAACACCTTACAGGATGACCACCTTCTAGGTACCAGGCAGGAAAAGCATACATGATTCTTTTCCTTTCTCTGTCTTGTCAAACCAGGGTTCATTAGAGTCCATAGTCCCTCCCACCATACAGCTTAAGATATCTTAATTGGTTTGCATGTTCATTCATTACATTTGTTATTAACAGCCTTCCCTGTCTGTGGTGGTTTGAACAAGAATGCCTCCCATAGGTGCTGTGGAATATTCCTTTACACTATGTGAATATATGGTGCTGTGATTGGTTTAATAAACAAGCTGAGTGTACAACAGCTGAACGGGACACAGTTAGAGGGGAAAGCCAAACTGAGAATGATGGGATGGGGAAGGACTGAGTTAGAGGATTTGCCAGCAGATGCAGAAGGAGCAGGAGATGAATGTGTCGTGTTAATAAAGGTAGTGCCACGTGGCAGAGTGTAAATAAGGAATAGGGGTTAACTTAAAATGTAAGTTAGTTAGTAATAAGCCTGAGCATTTACTATGACTATGAACCTCAGAGTGGTTATTTGGAATTGGCTGCTGGGGCGGGAAAACTCTGCCTACACAGAGGCTCATATATTTGAATGCTTAGCCATCAGAGAGTGCGGCTACTTAGAAGGATTAGGAGGTGTGGCCTTGTTGGAGGAAGTGTGTCGCTGGGAGTGGGCATCGAGGTTTCAAACTGAAGTACAGCTTAGTGCTTCTTCTCTGTTTATTGCAGATCTCTGATGACGCTTCATGTAATTTAATTCATTCAAACTAGGAGTGGTGCCATTTTGTCTGAATTAAAATGAGAAAGGAAATCAGTCCTGTTGGCTTAAGCTCATAATTCAAGCACTCTAGAGGTACAGAAGGGAAGACTGTACATCTGAGGCTATAGATTAAGACCCTGTCACTAGATAAATATGTTGGAATTGGTCCTGATGCTGCTATCTGGCTAACTACTCCCTGGTCTTGGTTTTCTAATCTGTAAAATGGGGTTGGATTTAGCATCTATCTCCCAAGGTTGTCATGAAGATTACACAAAGGGTATAAAAACATACCAAGTGTGTAACCAGCACTGAACATACCACATGTTTAAAAGCTACTCTACTTGAGAAAGAAAACAGTCATATTTGCACACAGTAAGATTTGAAGGCTTCACACCCCCTTCCTCCTCTCTCCAAGCCCCCAGGGCCTGAATTGAAATAACCGAACAAATCTTTGTCTGTTGAAAGTTTACAGGGCACTTTCTTTGAGCAGTGTTTACTGCAACACAAATAAAGCACCAACTTTTATCTCAGAATCATTTCTGAATCCCACAGTCATTAATTTCAGACCCAGGCTTGCCTTTGTACTTGGTTAGGAGTCCCCAGGAGCTGGGAGTGCAGCACTTTCAATCACTGCTGGGAGTTTAGGTTCTTTAACAATGGTGGCATCCAGAAACGCTCCTCAAATGCTCGGACTGACCTGGCTAGAACTCGGAGCTGCAGAACCAGACACTGGCTTAGTGGGATTTCTACTGAAGCCCAAGGAGCAGAATGAGAGACTCCTGAGATGCAGCTGTCTCTTGTCTGAATCTGCTTCATTGTTTCTAAGACTAAGGTGTTGAGTTAAACCATCTGTTTTGCTCTTTGCTGTCCAAAAGTGTCGCATCTGCTGCGCAGCCTGTGTCCGAGAACGTGCGGAGGGTGTCGGGGATTGACAACACAGAGACTCGTTCAATGATGTAAAGAAAACTTTAAGCAGGCCCCAAAAAGGTTCAAGAAAACTTCCTAAGAAAGGCTCCCACCAGAGAAGCTTCTGCTTTCTCCTCCACCCTGGCTGATTCTGCCCTGACACCAAAAACTGATCTGGGCGTGGCAGAAGAGGTGGCTAGTCTTTGGACAAGGTCGAGGGTGGTTTCTGTGGGCAGGCCTTTTCCAGGAACTTATTGCCCCCGGGCATTGTATTGTTTTTAGTAAACATGTTTTTAGTAAACATTGTCTTACAGCTGCCTACTCCCAGGCAGAAGGGGAAGTGGGTCTCTGCTCAAGATCTGGTGTTCCCACAAAAAGAGTCTAAGTGGATATAAACTGTGCCTGAGGAAACTGGGCTCTTTTCAACAAGACAGTTTTCTTGGCCGCAGCGCCCTACCACCTACTTAAAAGC